GGCATGAAAAAGTGCCGAGTTCATGAAGTGTTTGACAAGGCAATGCAGTGGTAACTCAACACAAGAATCAGCACAGGCCTCTCAATGCCCAGGACAGTGAGATAATGTTGACCAGCCACTGAGAGCAGGTGAGCTTCATGGTGTTGATGCACGCTCCAGTGAGCACACCCCAAACAAGATTGCCACATAAAACACAGGACACGTAAGTCCACTTAGACTTCAGATAAATAATACATGACCTTTAAGATAAGTATGTGCCCAAAATCACATTTCATAGAAACAACCATGCATATTTCATGTGAATGCACATAAACAACATGAAGGAACACATTTCTAAATCTTTCTCTCTTATTGCACAAAAAGAGACAGTGTTCCAGCACTACATAACATCCCACGTATGCTAAAAACTATGTACTGCTTACCTGAAATTCAAATTTACCTAAGCAATGTTGGGCACGATGGTACTCCTGTACTTCTGGTTACTAGGGAAACAGAGACAGGAGGATTGCTTGAGCTCAGGAGTTCAAGAATAGTGTGAACAACATAGGAAGACCCCTTTTCAAGAAACAAAATGAAACAAACAAACAAAAAATAAACAAAATAAATTTACCTGGCCATCATATTCTTTTATTTGTTTGTTTGTTTGTGTTTTTAAGACAGGGTCTCACTATGTAGTTGAGAGTGACCTGGAACTCACTACATAGCCCAGGCTGGTCTCCAACTCACAGCAATCCTCCTGCCTTAGCCTCCTGAGTGCTGGGATTAAAGGCGTGTGCCACCACTCCCAGCTTCATCATATACTTTTATATGCTGAACTGGTCAGTCTTAACACTAATGGCCTTTGGTCCTCTGTTCATTCGAGTTTTCCCTCTAGAAATGCCATTTCTTCTCCTGTGTCCATATAAGTCATGTTCCTACTGTGAGCCTCAGGTAACACCCCGCGTAACCCAGAAGTCCTCTTGTGAATTCTGCCATGCATGCTACGTCTCCCTTTTATGAACTCTGGTAACGTGCACCGACACAATGGATTAGACTGGGATATGTTCATGTGTTGTTGTCACATTGTTTCATAAGCTTTCGTGACCCCTCCCCATCAGTACTGCAACCACTGGGTGAAATCCCTGCCTGGCTCTTCCCTTCTATCCGCTGCTGCACCTAGCATGGGAGCAGGCAGGAGAAGCTTCATAATAATGATGGTATATTGTTTGCTTAGGGCACACAGAAAATCTGACAAGGGAGCATTATGATACCGTTTTCTGACAAGTCTAAACACAGCACAAGATGGAAGGGAAGAGTCTAGAAGTCTTGGGGAGAAAAAAAGCTTTGCTCATAAAATAAAGGTAACTGTGTGAAATAAAAAGCTACAATCAAATTGTGAATTGGAGAATATAAGAGCAGGTGATGTACTGACTCATAGATTTGTTTCTGTGGAAATTCTTGTCTCAGTCTAAAAGCCTTGCAAACACTAGGAGATTCCCTGCGTACTATAGCTGGAAGGACTTCAGCACTCACCTGGGCCAAACTATCCTTGTGTAGGAAAACTGCTGAAGCCAGGAGAGGAAAGTCACTTGTGCACAGGCAAGCAGTGAGGTGGCAACAGCCTGCGGTCCCCAGGGTAGGATTCTTCCAGTTTGTTCACTGATCCTCCAGTTTCAGACACAGGGCCTCATGCCAGGGGCAGGTTTTCAGCTCTACTCATCTTAAAAACTAGCATTTGTTGTCCTTTTCTTTCTATAAAACTGCTTACTTTCTTTCAGTAGGAAACCTGGAATGTATCGAAGTACATAAAAAAGAAAATTTAAGCTACCCACCAAATGGAAAGCCGTATTGTAGATATTTGATAGAATTTTTATTGGTATCAGGCCTTTTATCATGCACGGTAGACTGTAAGTGAGTCAGGAACTGAGTTAATCTGATGGTTCTCTGTCCTCAGTGTCTAGCACATAAGAGGGGTTCAGTACACACTTGCTGAGTAAATGACTACATCAATATGGACAGACACAGATATATACATTATATGTGCACTTGTACATGTTTATATAATTTGAAAAATTGAAATCACACAATTAAAGTGATAATGGTGTGCTATATGCTATCACATTATAGTAATATAGTATGATATACATGTCATAAAAATTTTCTCATGTTGCAAACATCTCCCTATTCAATAATGGCATAATATTCTATTGTGTGGTTATGCTATTATTTATTTCCCCATCTCCAAACAATGGACATTTAGGTGGTTTCCAAATTATTTTGAATTCCAAATGGTAATATGATAACTATCTCCAGTGGATCTCAGTGAGTATCAGTCTGTGGGGGAAATTGGGCCTTTATTTTTACACTAAAGAGAAAAGTTAGGACCCTAAAGCAATAGCTGGCCAACTACCCAAGTGTCATCTTATCAGCCCTGAACAGGTTAATTGACTCAGGTTCCTTAACAAGTCAGGAGCCTCAGTTCAGAGCTGGCAGGCTTCTGATCATAAACCCTAGATAATCAATTCAACTCTGTCCCGATGACACCTCACCAGGAGTTCTGGGGTACTGTGGAACAGGACAAATAGGGAGATGTTGTCTTGACTGCCCCCCAGCTCGGCCAGTAAGATGCTGAGAATGGTCAACAGAGAAGAGCCCCCCAAATTGTCAATTTGTGGATAGACAGAAAAGAATGGGAAAGAGGGATGAAAACACAGGAAGAGTGAGAGAAAGAAAGGAAACCCTTATTCTCACAGGTGTTCTAAAAACTAGAGAGAAGCAGGGGATAGGAAAATCAATCAGGTTCCCCTTCTATTATGTGTGGCTTCCCCAGGATGATTTGCTCCCCCCGCAAATTAAACCAAACCATACTATACCAGTAGTAGGCTATGTGAGATGCTGGAAAGGGCTCAGGCATGGAGGAAGAAACACACGGATTTCAATCCCACCTTTGCCAGCCACAAGCAAAATGTACAAATACGTTTTTTCACTTCTTTCAAAAATTTTAAATAAAAACATAAATGTGTGCCAAACACTAATTATGCACTGTGTTAATGAGTTTATACCATATGCAAATATACCCTGTATGACAATAACGGCAGAAGGAAAGGGGTCAGTGGAGCGTACTGGAGCAATGTTGCTATATTTTTGCTTTGTTTTAATGTTGTTATATTTTATCAGTTTAAACCCGTTATAACCTGAAATAGTCTGTGCTAAGTTAAGATGAATATAGTAATTCTTAGAGCAACCATCGAGAAAATAATTTAAAAATCAAACAACAAATAACCCTCTCCCCCCCACAAAAAGCAAATATTAAAATAGCTCACTGAAAAAAGATTTGTTTCACATGAAAGGAAGTTATAAAAGATTAACTATTAAGTGAGTGAACCTATGTGAATGTCTGAGAGCATGACTAGCAGACAGGACTAGCTACACTCCGTCCCCATCATTGTCTGTCCTGTCATGCAGCGCTCAGAACAAGAAGAAGCTGTCAGGGTGTCCGATCAGCGGGTGTGCAAGCGTGGAGACCGAGGAGCACCCAAAGCCAGGATGGCTGAAAGGCAGGAAGCTCCCTCACAACCTCAGAAGTCCAAGGAAAGTGTGATGGTGGTTGAGGGAGTCAAGAGAGGGAATGGGGGTGACAGGGATTTATTTTAGAATAAACCGCAAGATGTGGGGACCCACATGATGCCTGGGGGCTACAGCCCACAGAGCAGACTCCCAGAAAGGTATCAGATTCATAAAGCATTGTTTCTAAAGTAGTTATGAGTAACAACAGAAACCAACAGAGGTTGAGCCTAACGTCAAATCAATGAATGGTGAAGAAAAAGCAGAACTCGTAAAGGGAGGCACGTGCACGAGCTCGACTAGAGGCCCAAAACTTTCCCTATCTGGTCACTGAATCTTCCTCCCAGGTGGAAAGAAACTAAACCCCCACTCACCAGATGGAGAAACTGAGCCAAAAAAAAGGAACTGTGCTTTCCTGAGACATGACAGCCATTTTCTGAATCCAAAGCCTGTCTTTTTTCTTCTGTCCTACAGCTACTGTAATCATGGTCAAAGAAAAAGATCTGTGGACCACAGTTGGTAATAATAAGACACAGTGGAGGTTCAGCAAGCAGGGGGAAGTGGCAGCACCTGGAGGTCCCTGTGAGCGCAGCCCAACTGCTGAACTCCACCCAGGTGGGAAGCGGATGGGGCTTTAGCTTCCTAGGGGTGAGGTAGCCAAGCACCACACAGAGGTGGCCCAAAACGACAGGAAATGTACTTGATCACAGTTCTGGAGTCAAAAATTCCAAGACCAATGTGTCCTTGGGGCAGGCTCCTCCTTGGGGTTCTGAGGAAGAATCTGCGCCCTGTTTCTGTCACACCTCTGGTGGCTTCTGGCAAACACTGGCATTCCTTAGATGGGGAATTGGTAGAAAGAACTGGTAGAAGGAATTCTTCCAATCTCGGTCTCTTTTCATATGGCCTTTTCTGCATATCTTCACGTGGGCTCCTTATACAGACATCAGGGATGGATGCAACCCCCCCCCAACCTAGTGTGACTTCATGGTAACTAATTACATATGCAAGACCGTATTTCCAAATAAGGTCCTATCCAGGATTTCAGGTGGGCGTGAATCTGAGGGGACACTATTCAGTCTGGAGCAGTGGCCTCCTCTTAGGACGTACTCTTTGACGTCCCCTCTCTTTGCATGGCATCCTACGTTCTAAAGAAAAGCTGCACATAAATGATTAAGAATAAGTTAATTTCTGAAAAAAAGGAACAGTCTCTTTTTAGATTCACAAAACCTGGAACGCACAAAGAAAAAGTAATATGTTTGTCTAAAGAATTAAAGAAACTAGTCCCAGGAGGTCAAAGTTGACTGAAATATTCTAGCCAAAGAAATTTAAAAATGAGAGAGAAAGAGACAGAGACAGAGAGACAGGGAGAGGGAGAGGGAGAGGGAGAGGGAGAGGGAGAGAGAGAAAGGAGGAGGAGAAAGAGGAGGGGAAGGGAGACAAACACCCTGGATAACAAACACACCAAGGAGAGAGCACTTGTCTTCCTGCCCCTCACATTTATTTTGTGTGCCTGAGTTCTTCGGATGGTCTGTTTTTAAGGATCTTCAGGGTGCTGGCGCCCAAATGAACCCGATTTCTTTCCTAGTAACTTTTATTTCCCACGTACTGGCTTTCAAGCAGCAGGAAGATGCACTCAGCTCAGTAACAAATCTGCAGCCCATATAAGCAAAGACTGCGGCACACGTGAAAAGCCAGAGAGAGTGAATGTGGATGAGGAAAGAGAAGGGTAGGAGGAAGGCAGACCAGCCAGAGACAGAAAGCGAAACAGAGCTCTGAGACACGGCCTGCTACCGAAACGCCGAGCAGGCATGGCGGGAGTGGGTGAGTAAGAGCTCGCGAATGGCCTCCTTCTTCTTCACAGGTTTCTGGGGACACAGGTGCGGACACCTGGCCAGGGCTTGGAGACCAGGGAGGCGAGGGCGGGTCGGGGAGCAGGCTGCTGTCTGGGAGGAGCGCAAGCAGGAGGCGCAGGGTAGGTCTTCCGCCCCCATGTCAAGGAAGACTTTTATTTATTGACTGTTTTGAGGATAACCATGGTAATATGCTAAGAAAAAACAGCCAGACATAAATATAGGTTTCAAATGCAAATGAAGGGGAAATTGCTGAAACAGCAGACCTGAAGTGAGTGTGAACTGGAGCTGTTTGAGGAATAGGGCTTCGACCCAAAGCAGCGGAGCACAGTGCACAGCGCCCCGCCCCATCTGTCGGCCCTCCATCATGGGCTCAACCAACAGCGCAGAGAAAATACTATTTTTAAAACATTGGATCTGTGTTGAACTGCACAGACGTTTTTCCCTTGTCATTTTCCCCTGAACAATAGACTATAACAACTTTTCACAGAGCCTTTACATCATAGTGGGTATTTTAAGTAATCTAGAGATGACTCAAAGTATGGATGTCAAAATTTTTGGCTTGCTTGGCCCATACTGTGTGAAGAGGAATTGTCTTGGCCTCCCTTTATATATATATCAGCACTTTCTTTTAACGTTTTTAAACTTGTTAAATTATTTAACAAAATAACACACTAAACCCTGGTTTAATAATTAAATCAGAGAACCTGCGTGTCTGCCTATAACGATAAATGCCTGCCTTCACAGGCACACACACGTGTATCGGTAACCACTCCGTTTAACCCAAGTCACACAGGCACAAGTAGCATCTGATACACGTGGGCTTCTATTCCACCGAGAGCATGTGGTGGCCGTAGGAGGGGAAGTTAGCACCGCCCCGCATAGTCTTCTGTTGTGACCCTACCCAGTCCACACAATCAAGTCATGAAAAATATAGCTAAATATCACAGTATAAAGTTAAAAGTTTATGACTCTGTGGGGCTGCATGACTACCTGTGTAAGGGCCAGGAGTGGCCCATGGGCCGCCGGTTTGCCAGGCCTGATCTGAGGCATGCAGGAGGACATGCATGTAGGCTACCTGTAGGCATATCATTTTATACAAGGGCCTTGAGCATCTGCAGATTTTATCTGTGGGGTGTCCTAGAAGCAATCCCCTGAGAATATGAATGGAAAAATATATTTAGTCTTTGTCCCAAGTTCCTGTCATAAAACTCCTCAAACCCTCCAGATTTCTCAAGAGACAAAAACTGTCTTTCACTATTCATAATGACTCCCTCCATTCTGGGGATTGAACTTGGCCTTTGCACTGAGCTCTACCCCCAGCCTTTTGTTTTGTTTTAAATTTTTTGTTTTGAGACTGGTTCTCACTAAGTCGCTAAATTGCCCGGGCTGGGCTCAAACTTGAGATCCTCCTGTATGTGCCTCCCAGAGTGCTGGAATCACACCTGTGTGCCACCCTACCTGGCTGATAAACTCCTTTCCATCACATCTATATTTATGCTAATGATGCAACTTTGAGTGGTGCCCCTCAGGAGGCAACTGGCCCCATGAAAGATCAAGTAAGATTAGGAGATTGGGACTTCAAGCCCCACCCTCTGATCTCAGGGAAGGTTGACGGTGGGAGGGACAAGCAGATCCTGGAGGTTAAACTCTATAAAATGTCTTGACAAGCAAAACTGGATAAGTTCTAGGCTGGTGAACAAGCAGAGGTGCTGGGAGGATGAAAAGGTGTGGAGGCTGTGCACCCACAGCACTGGGACTTAACCCTGTGTATGTTTCTCCTCTGGCTTCGCCTGAGATGAACCCTCTGTTAATAAACCAGTAAACCTAAGTATTGTTTCCCTGAGTTCTGCGGGCCATTCTAGGAAATTGTTGTAGTTGAGCAGGGGGTTGTGGGAACCCCTGACTTGGGGCTAGCTTGTCAAAACAACAAGAAATTGGGATTGGAATTGGTATCTACTATGGGGGGCAGTCTTGAGGGACTGAGCTGTGCTAACTCCAGGTATACAGTACCAGGATTGGATTAAATTGTGGGACACCTTGGCAATGTTTAGAGAGTTGGAGAATTGCTTGGAAAAAGCCATCATCTGGCATCTGAAGGTTGTGTAAGAATTAGAGAAACTTTGGCAGTGAATCCTTAAGCCAGAAAGTCAGAAGGAAGAATGAACACAATTTAAAACAGCCCAAGGGTCCGCAGGAGTCTAACCTGTGGTTTCCAGGACTGCACTGTTACTGAAAGAACCTTTCCGCTAAGGAAGGGGCCAGGCGAGTGCTCAAGCAGACAGAGGAAGCAAGCCAGCCTGTGTGCAGAGTTGCAGAGGCCCTGCTGGGGTTGGTGACCACAAATCTGTCGTCACACCCACCTGCACTTCTTCCAGCTGGGGGCTGCTGCTAGAAGGAATCACAGGGTCCGGGCTTTGCACCCAAAACTGCCACATGTGGATAGGCTTGTGAACATATTTATATAAATAGACTGTGGTAGACTTTAAAATGTTTTAACTGAGTGTCTTCCAGGCTAAGGGAGACATCTGGTTAATAGGGAGCCAGAGTTCATGTTTCCGTACACCCCTTCTGTTCCAAAGACATTAAAAGAGGAGAGAAAATATCAAGAGGAACTGGAATAAATACAGACAGTCTCAGGAACAAGCTCAACATCTCCAAGAACCAAAAGCAGATGGGAAGCAATGCAGTGTGTGGAACTGAAGCCTCGAGCCTGCAGCGTTCTGGGGCCAAAAAGGATCAGCCCAAGGCCGCTAAGTGGTCACCTGCTTTCAACTAAGGAGACTGTGTTCCTGCATCAAGTTTGGACTTTCCAATGGATGCTGAAAAATGGAAGCAGCCCTGTCTGGGGCTCGGGCTTTATGGAAACAGGAAGCTCTAACATGAGGAAGGCAAAACTCAGCCCCCCGGACCCAAAACAACTGCCTGATGACTGGAACATTGGACCTGCTTTACCCAGAGCATCAGGGCAGAAAGGAAATTCCACCAAAGTAATTGCAGATGTGGACATGGTCCTGGATTGAGGCCACTCAGAGTTGCTGAAAGAAATAGAGAGACAACCATAAATGAGGATCTTGGCGTGCTGAGTAACAGCCAGGCCCCCTGTGGAGGAGTCCTAGAAAACAGGGTACAAGAAGCCCAGTACCTTGGCAGGAGTGAAGGTTGAGGAGCAGCTAGGGGCTACCTGCCACTTCCTGCAGGCCCCACAATCATTCTGATACAAATAGCAACAAGATTTCTTCCTGGGGAGGAAGGATATCTAGACAGACCAATAGTGAGGTTGAGGTGAACATAGAAAACTTGTAAAGCCAGGTTCTCCATGTGTACGTTGAAAAAGAATGATGGAGAAAAATTAATTCTACTAAATATTAAAATATAAGGCCTGTGGCTGGGGCTGTAGTTCAGTGGTAGAGCACTTGTCTGGCATTCAGGAAGCCCTAAGTCCAATGCATAGCACTGCAAAAATTATAAATAAGTAAAATATAAGGTCACAAAATAAAGTAATATAATAAAAACATTAATAAGCAGTCAGCTCAAGGTAATAGGTCTAAAAGTCAGAAAATAGATATAACTATATTCAATATATAACAATTATTTGTAATTAAATAAGGAAAATTATTTGTAATTCATACCATGATAGACTAACTTCATTAAAACCTAAAGAGATACCGGTATCCAAAGGGAAAACAGGAAAATTATCAACATTAAATATCAATAATCCACAGAAAAAGAAGTGCAAGCAGCTCTTAAATACATGGCAAGACATTAAAAAAAAATGAAATACCTGAGATAATATTTTTCATCTACAAAATGGAAAAACCAAAGCACTGGGAGACATGGCATATTGGTGAACTAGTCATTTGCCTATTTTACTCTCAGACCCATTCCCAGCCTTTTCCCACCCTGCTGCTTTTACCATGTACTCCATCACCAAGAAACACCTGACAGAATGGCTTCTTGAAGTCTCAGTCATTCTCCAGCTGGAAGACCACACACCTTGAGGCTGTGATGATGCCCTAACAGGACACAGTATATATTTTGAACCAATACATGGTGTGATTTCTCCCAGGACCAGCATACACAGGGCTTGGAGCAAAAAGATAGAATAATGACTCTTCTTTCTATGCCTATGGGCTGGGCCATTCACATGATATTTGCACCCCATCCTGCAACCTTCAGCTCTGAGCAGTTATCAGAGTTGATTTCCAAGAAACGAATGCACCCACCAGGTATACAGCAATGGTTTCATAATACTTGAAGTTGAGATCACTAACTGGCTACAGTGGGTTTGTCATGTACTCAACCAATGAGCAGAGAAAAGCATCAACACATTGGCTCAGGGGAATAATCTCAATTACCTACAGGAAATTGGATTTTTGATACACAATGGGGCAGGGAAGTCTGTATCTGGGAACAGTCAGGATTCTCCAGGGTGCCTCTGCGTACTTCCTGACCAGTTATAAAAGGCAATAAAAGACACTGCACCAAAAAAAGGCAGGACTATTGAGAAATCAGCCTCTTTGGGAATAAAGATTTGAATCACTCTGCATGTAAGGATAGCCAGACAGCCGAGTGCTGGCAGAGGGCAAGGGGGATGTGGGATGAACTCTGGAAGAAAGAAATGGTAAGTGCCGACCACAGACTCATAGCCAGTTACAGACATGAAGACTGAGCAGCCAATTCTTTCTTTCTCTTGCTTATTCCCTAACAAATCTGTCTGAGAGATGTTCATGGTACTTCCTTTTACGATCAGAAGAATGACATCCAGACCTGAAAGGGATCTGAATATAGGGACTGAGTGATTTAACAGGTACCCATTTCGGGGAGAGGCCCTAGTGTCAGAGGGTACATGGATTACGATGTTCTGTCAGGCAGAGCAAAGACTTCAATCTGGGTAGAAGGGCAAGAGTGGAACTGAGCAGCAGGAAGTTTGGGCTGTGCTTATCTCCCCACCCTCATCCCATCCTCCAT